TGGTTGGTGATGGGACAGGTAGAGGTGGGGAGGGATAGGTAGGGTGGGGGGCAGAGATGAATCGGGTGGTATTTAATGAATACACAAGGGAGAAGTGACTAGAAGGGTGTCAGGAAGGTGGGATATAAACACCGGCTTCGACGAGTTGGGTGTAAAGGCCTGTTTGCACGCTGTCTGGTTGTGTGTTACTCTTGAGTACACAAAGCTTCACTCGCTTACCCACGATATCGACTCGCCCGGCTTGAATGCTGCTGAGACACTGGGTCACAGACTCATCATAGCAGACGTCCAGCTGTGCGATGTGTAATGTTTTGTTCAGCGTCGCTCCAGCCGCCTCTTCCAACTTCCCTTTTTTACTCAAGTTCCTCATTGTCGCGATAACTTTCCATACAGACGCCCCCACCACAGCCCCCACACAGACCAAAGAATAGCGTTAACTCGGTCACTCCGCTTCACAGTTAAATCCCACCCAAACGCTTCGAGACACCCTCTCGACATGGAAGGCTGACTGATCCCACAGATTTGAATCACTTTCTCTTCTATTAAACATTGTCGGCCTCTGGCTCAGTCGGCAGCTCTCTTGTTTCTGAGTCAGAAGATTGTGGGTTCAAGTGGGTGGGGGACGTGAAACTCGTAGAGTCTAAGATGACTATATGAGTTATTATTAAGATGGTATTCAAGTAACGGGAATTTCCCCCTCTCAAGAGAAAAAAAAATCCTGTCAAGCGCTTTGAGACGTCAAGAAGACGTGAAGAGCGCTGTATCAAATGCAAGGACTATTATTATTATTATTACTATGATAAAATTCTGAATGTCGACCCAATCGTTAGTAATCTTCGCATTCCACACCTGTTTTTCATGTCTTGAAGTGCTTTGCAGGATTTCACTGTGTTTTTTGTGGGCCACTGGCGTCGCTGTAATTTAGTGATCAGAATTAGACAGAAAGCTTATTATATATAAATGTAGCACATGTCCCCGTTAATCCTTTTACACCTAATCTTCTCGAACTAAATCACTGTAACACTCCAGATAAATGACCCTGTACTGGACTGTTTCATAACAAACACAAACACATCTTGAATTGCAGTAAAATAATCGAGTTGATTTGGGGGTGAACTTTGGTCCATGTAAAAAATAAAAATGACGAAATAGACTTTACTGCAGTTTTTTTGTTTGCTAATGATCTTAACGTTAATTAATAATTGATGATAATAATAATCCTCGCATTTAGACAGCACCTTATTACTTTCCGTCTCAAAGCACTTTGCCGGATTCGCTGTCGAGTGCAGTGACTGTGTGTTTTGTGGGCGAATGTGGAGCTGAAGTGCAACACCGACGTCCCCGAGAAGAGCGAGGAAGCAAATGAGTGATTTTATGGTGGGGGGTGGAGGGGGCAATTTGTCAGGCAGAACACGGGTTGTGGGGGAGAGAAACTCTTCTCTTTTCCGACAGCTTCTTTAACTTCTGCCTGAACGGGGAGGAAGCTCGGTTTAATGCCGCCCGCACACACACACACACACGCCCCCCCCCACCCCGCGCCACACCGGAGCGTCAGTCTGGACCGTGTGAACTCAACCCAAGGGGACTCGAACCCACAACCTCCCAACTCGGAGACCAGAGCGCTGGCCGGCGGCTGAGCTCCGGCACGAGACAGCCCAGCATGGGCCATCAGCAAGCCACCTACCGTGAAATCGCTTCAGTGGGTCGCTAGCGAGTTGCACAGCGAGCCTCAGACCGATCCCCGAGGAGCAGCCAGTGATCAGCACGACTTTTTGCCCGTCGCTCGCCATTGCTGACAGAGCCCAGGAGCCTGAGCCGGACACTGGAGAGGCTCAGCGGCTGGAGAGATGGGATAAGCTGGCAGCTTAAGCGAGGGATGTTTACGTCACCTTTGTGCACTCGGACCGGTAATCCACCGTGGACACTGATTACAGGCGGTTTCCAGCTGCCTTAGGTCGGCTCAGAGTTTTAATAACAAGAAGAAGAATCCTTGCATTTGGATATAGCTCTTTATCACGTCGTTGAGACGTCTGAAAGAGCTTCACAGGATGTACTGTAAAGTGGATTCACTTTAAATAAATTAGATAGGGAAGGGTACCAAGCCCAGCTCAGCGGGTTACGCTGCCCGGACATCTTAGGTTGGTTTGCTGACTACAACGCAGGGCTTAATTTAATTTTTTTGGATGCTGTGGATTGATTTTCCCCCCAAATCCCCATTTCTCTCTCTCCCTCCCTCCCGGCTCCCTCCCTCCCTATGGGTTTCTCCAGCGAGTGCAGATGAACGCCCCAGGTTCAATTCCCTCGCTCGCTTTAACTCGATCAGTGAGCTTAGCTCAGCCAGTTGGTCAATTGGCCTGAAAGGCCAACTTCCATCAGTGGCCGAGCCTTCAGCCAATGCGCCCTCTAACCTCTGGACTCCCTGCCCCTACTACTCCTCCGCCTGTGCCCTCTTTATCTTTAATAGATAAGCCAACCGATGACCTAGTTCTTCAACTGCGCGATGATCCCCCCCCTCCCGCCGCCCACCGTGCAATTCTCCAAGATGATGCCCTATGTGATGGGCGCTACGTGAACGCAAGTTGTCGTGTGTTTTGTGGGCAAACGCGGCAGTTAATTTACACATTTTGACATCTCGCAAAAATGGCCGTGAAGTGAACGACCAGTTGTAGCTGTGGTGATGGTGGGGTGGGGGGAAGGAGGGACTTGTCGGTCAGGATAGTTGAGGTGGTGGGGAATGGCTGGGCTGTGTAACATGGGGGAATTCTACGTTCCCTGCGCTAGAACCTTTAATTGAACAATATTATGGGGGAAGCTGAGTAAACGAGCGGTTCTTTGAACTCTTGTGTTATTGACTCTGTGTTGCGCAGCATTTGACTGTTTACACTGTGAACACAGAGAGGAACAAATTAGTCATTATCGATGGCAGAGAATCGGAGCCCAAAATTCCACCCCGTCTCACTCTTTTTTAAATTGATTGATTGATTGATGGATTGATGGATTGATTGATTTAGAGGGGTTTAGAATTGTAGCACCTACAGGAGGCCATTCGGTCGATCGAGTCCGTCCCAGCTCTCCGAGCAAGCTTTCCACTCAATCTCACTGTCTGCACCCTATCCCCAAACCCTTCAAGTCTCTATCCTTCTACATGTGTATACCCCCCTTCATGTACGTTGTCAGGTTGGCTCAGTGGTAGCTCTCTCTCTCTCTCTCGCCTCTCGAGTCAGAATGTTGGGGGCTCCAGCTCCATGTCAGGACTTGGAATCACACACGTAGGCACATCCGTAAGATGACATATCAGTTCAGTGCTGCGGGTGCGCTGCATTGTTGGAGATGCCGTCCTTCAAGTGAGGTTAAACTGAGGTCCTGTCTGCCTCTTCAGGTGGACGATAAAGATTCCCATGGCTCGAAAAGAGAAAGAAGTTTCTCCCGGTGTCTGGCCAATAATCCCCCCAAATAAAAACGTGTCACTCACTCCATGGCTGTTAGTGGGATGTTGCTGTGTGCAATTGTGCTGCTGCGTTTGCCCACAAAATACTTCACAGTAAATTCTGTGAAGCGTTTTGAGGATCTTTAACGTCTGTCTGAATAGGGCACGGACTAGGTGGCTCGCAATCCCACCCCTCCACCTACCCAACCCCCAGCGCTACATTGGAGCTTTGTTCTAGACCTCGTGAGCTCAAAGTCTTCTGACTCGGAGGCGAGAGTGCTGTCACGTGAGCCAGACTGACACACTTAGAAAGGACCTAAATGACTTATTCCGAGCTTCAGTCACATTGCAAGTCTGTCCGTAATCATAAGGTCACCTTATCTGAGGTAAACTTGTCCTAAGATGCGTTTCACAACAGGATCTCGTATAATCTCCCTCTGTGTTTACAGATGTCCTAATAACAATTTGTTGTTTTCAAATTTTTTTTTAAACTGTACCCCCCCCCCCCCCCACCGGGGTCCTGGCCGACAATCCCATGGATAAAACCAGTGGGATGGGGATGGCTGTTTACGGCCTCGCTCCCTCCTACCTCTCCAACCTACTATCCCCCTACCTACCTGCCCGTACCCTCCGTTCCTCTGGCTCCGGTCTGCTCCACGTCCCCCGCCCCAATCGCCCTACCATCGGTGGTCGGGCCTTCAGCCTCTCAGCCCCCAGGCTCTGGAACTCCATCCCCCAGTGCCTTCGCCGCTTCCTCCCTTTCCTCCTTCAAGGCCGGTCTCAAAACCTTTCTCTTTGACCGTGCCTTCAGCTCCCCTCTCGACTCTCTTCCCCCTCCTTGCTCCCTCCCTTCCCTCCCCTCACCCTGACCATTTCCCCCCTCCTCGCTCCCTCACTTCCCTCCCCTCACCCTGACCATTTCCCCCCTCCTCGCTCCCTCCCTTCCCTCCCCTCACCCTGACCATTTCCCCAATGCTCGGGTCATGACCCAACTGTGCAGCGCCTTGGGACGTCCTCCTGACGTGAAAGGCGCTTTATAAATGGAATCTTGTTGTTGTTGTTGTTGTACGGTGATGTCAAATGTGTGCAAATCTGCTGCCACCTTCATCCCCATAACGCGCAGTCACAGTAACACCCTGCAAAGCGCTTTGAGACATCTTGATGAGATAATAAAGCGCTGTCACAATTGCAAGGATTATTATGACAGTGTAACTCCCGATAACTCGACCCTGGCTTAACTTGTGATCGTGCTGCCAATATCCTGGCCGCGTTTGTTTATGAATTTATACATCTGCCTAAGTTGCCATTCTTGATAAATCGCCACTGAGCCCTTTTCCTTGGAGCAGAGAGATATCAGGTGTTCACTGTATGATTAGACAAGGTCAAACCGTCCCTCATGCCAGAAAACTGTTTGCTTCCTGGAATTCGCCTTGTCCGCTGGATTGCGATCAACTCTTAAATAAATATGTTCACAGATAAAACGAATGGTGCAAATCCACCTCCAATGTTAAAGATTAATAGATATCATTCCCACATATAAACTGACAAGATTTTTGGGGAGGTTTAGTCCCAGTGAAAGTCTGTCACCATGAAGGGGACATGTCTGTATCTGGTCCTGTGGACGTATTTCACTGCTTTCTCCCAATGTGGTGCACTGTAAGTATTAATATTCCTATTTCCTATAATAGTAATCGTTGCATTTGATACACTGCCTTTCATGTCAGGAGGGCGTCTCAAAGTGCTTCGCAGGATTTTACTGTGGAAGGGGAGCGACTGTGTGCTTTGTGACCAAGTGGGGCAGTCAATTTGCGTGCAGTGACATCCCTGCAAATAGCCGTGAAGCTGAAACATTACCCCCCACCCTCCCGTGCTGGCTGTGTCCTGTTCAGTCAGACACTAAAGATCCCCCGTGGCGCTATTCGAAAGGAGAAGGGAGATTTTTTTTCTGTCTCTCCTAATGTCCTGGCCAACAATCCCCCCCAGATAAATGTAGTCGTTCCCTTTAGGGCTGTTTGCGGGAATGCCTTTTTAAGCGCAAATTGGCTGCCGAGTTTGTCCACAAACTACACAGTCTCTGCACATCACAGTAAACACCTGTGAAGCGCTTTGAGATATCCTTCTGATGTGAAAGGCGCTGTATAAAATGTAAAGATAGTTATTAGTAGTAGTCCAGTAAACTGATAACTTGTCACACCTATCTGGAAGGCTGGTGGAAGCCGATTCAATAACAACTTTCAAAAGAGAAATGGATAGATATTTGGGGAAGACAAGTTTGCAGGGCTGTGGGGAGAGAGCGGGGGAGTGGATTGATTTGGAAGCTCTTTTCAAAGCGCAGACCGAATGCCTCCTTCCATACTGTATAATTCTATGATGCTATGAAAGGGCTCTGACGAGTTATCCAGAGTGGGTGAGTTAGGCATATGTATAAATGCATAAATAAACACGGCCAAAATATTGACAGCACGATGACTACTTGGTAGTGACAAGTTAAGCCAGGGTTGAGGAGTTACCAGGAGTTTTACTGTAATTATATTAATTACCTGTTAATTTGTTGTCTTTCCCCAGCTACACTCTAACGACTCCAAATCTCCTGAGGGTCGACATCTTCGAAAAGATTGTTGTGGAATCTCATGACACAAGCAGTGCCTTTCAAGTGCAAATCCGTGTCCAAGACTTTCCTGCCAAGTCTGAAATTCTGTTTTCTACCGAAGTCCATCTCTCACAAGATAATAACCCGGCCTCTGTGGAAATCAAGGTAATCAGCTGAGGACGTAAACCGCAAGTTAATACTTACATTTATACAGCGCCTTTCACATCGGGAAGATGTCCCAAGATCCTGGATAGTCCAGGGTTTGCACCCGAGCTGGGGTGGGGGTTAAGGTGGGAAACAATGACCTAAAGAGCGGCCAAGAATAAAGTTTTGAGACGGACCTTAAAGGGGTGAGGTAGCAGGAACTCCAGAGGGTGAGGGCAGATAGGCTGAAAGCCTGAACCCGAGGTTGGGGCACAAGACACAAAGCGGAGGTGAGCCCCACTGAGCGAAGGGAGTTATAAGTTTAGGTGACCAACCCTGTTTCAATGTGGTAGTGTGGGTTCAACACCTCGGTAACGTATTGCCTCTCCTCCCCGGTGAATTCCTGCGAAGCACTTTGAGACATTTCAACGGGTTACGGCGCAGTACTGAATGCGAGGATTATTATTAATGACGTATCTCTTTCCACCTGTTTTCTGCCCAGATTCCAGCTGATCGGGTTCCTAAAACGAGATTTAAACAGTATGTTATCGTGAACGCCAGGTTCCCAAACTTCGAATTGAACCGAGAAGTTCTTCTTTTATACGAAACTGGTCACCTGTTCCTCCAGACTGATAAACCAATCTACACACCATTGCAAAACGGTAACTCCTTCAGCAAATTATTTTTGGTCACCCGTCCGAGTGTCTCACCCGCACACGAGGAAACCCGTTACTGCAATCGGCCATGTTTCTCATCCACGTGGAAATCTGTCACTTGTCTCCCAAACCAGCCCAAGAATTCTATAATTGTCACGTGGAATTGGGAATGGAATCACATTGTTCGCTCTCCCCCTCGAGGGTGGTGGCACCCTCTGCTTACCTAATTCTGGATAGTGTTAGGGGTGGGGTTTCAGGGCTTTCACTAACCTGAAATGAGAAGATTCAGATGCACTCCTTCACGCAGGAGCATAGCTTCCCTCCCTCTGGGGTGTATTGAATAAACCCCGGGGTGGGGGGGGGGATTTATATTCTAACACACAAAATGCGCATGAATTAATTAATGTTTCTCTGTCGTTGTGTCTCTGGTCTCCATTCTTAGTGCTTTACCGATTGCTCACTGTGGACAGGGATCTGAAGCCAAACAACAAAAAGGCAACTGTTGAAATTTTGGTAAGGCTCTGACCTGATATATTCTCACGTAGATTTTGTATATTAACAGTGGACATATTGTCACCGAGGTATAATTATATGATGCTATGAAAAGGTCTCTGACGTCATGTACCTGTCCACGTGTCAGCCCCTCTGCCCATCCCCTCACCCCCACCCCTCCTCCCCGTGCCTCAACGGGTTTAGTGGAGCCCTGATCTCTGCTTACTCTCACAGCTCGTTCCTCCTCTCAGACCCCACAGGGTGTCACCGTGCAGCAGGTCCAGATAAATAAAGAAAGCAGAATGAAGTCGTCTGGAATCAGCACGGGCACGTTCGCTATCCCAGAGCTGGTGCAGTAAGTAGCACTTCCCAAATTTGTCCCTGATGGAGAGGGGACGCTGCTCGGCCAGTCATTAACCACGGTGCAGTCTCAGCCTGTTGCTCTCTCGCGCGCTCTCTCGTCTCTGAGTCAGGAGGTTGTGGGTTTGAGTCCTGAGCTCACAGTGCACACCCCGGCATGTCGGAGGCAACGTCTAGGAACTCTAGGAGAGAAGGGAATTTCTCTCTCTCTCATAAAATCGTTCGTTCACTTCACGGCTGTTTGGAAGACGTGCTGCGTTCCTCCCACATGTCTCGACGACCCGCTAGTGCGCTGTGTCCAACATGAGGATTATTATTCTTTCTTAACTAAATGTCGGTTCATTTCTACTTCCAGGTTTGGGTTCTGGAAAATTGTAGCAAAGTATGATACCGATGAGACCTACAATTATACAACGGAATTCGAGGTCAAGGAATACGGTGAGGGATCCCACTGAACAAAGCAGTCGACCATTTGCTCCCTTACTGTTGATGGAATTGACCTGCCCCCCACCACCACCGGTGCCTGTTCATGTTCAAACATCCCCGTGGCGCTATTGAAAAAGAGATGGAGTTCCCCCCACACACACGTACACCCACACATTCATACGCACCCCAGTGTCGTAGCCGACAATCCCCCAAGTAAAAATTAGTTGTTCACGCTGTGCGTGCCTTGGCTGCCACATTTGCCCTCAAATCATGTGGTCACTGCACTTTAAAATTTGTGTTGTACTGTAAGCCTAAAAATACCACTTTCCTCTTCAATAACACGCAGTACTCCCAAGCTTCGAGGTCGTGTTAGAACCGAGGAAGCATTTTTTCTACGTGGATGACGTGAAGTTGGACGTGGACATCAAGGCTAGGTCAGTGGGCTTGTCGGGGAGAAGAGAGCAGACAGGAAATCTGCTTTCTGTTCCGTGCTCACCTCACCCCACTTCCGAATTTAGGGTTTACACTTTGTCAGTCAGCCAGGCTCAGGGGCAGCTCTCTCTCTCTCCTCTGAGTCAGAAGATTGCAGATTCAAGCCCCACATTAGGTCTTAGAATCACACAGTCTAAGCTGATGCTCCAATACAGTGCTGGGGTTGGGGGGGTGTTGCATTGCCGCAGGTGCCATCCTTCAAATGAGATGTTAAACCGAGCTCCCCGTCTGATGGTAAGATCTCTCTCTCCCAGTGTCCTGGGTGGCAGTCACCCAAATAAAGTAAGTTGCTCACTTCGTGTGGAGGTCCCTGAGCACAAACTTGCTGCCACGTTGGGTGACTGAATTTACTGTAAATCCTGTGAAGCGATTTCCTCGTGATTTGAATGCCACCTTATCGAATGCAAGGATTATTATTATTTATTTATTTATTTAGATACACCTATGGCGAATCCATAGAAGGCCGTGCGTTCGCTCTCTTCGGGGTGGTGACGGACAAAGATAAGTACTAATCCCATCGTCCCTTCAGTCCACCGATGTGAGTACAACAGTCACGCCCTGGTCCATCCTGCTGCCCCTTCGCAAGGTTGTGAGTTCAAGCCCCACAACACCGACAGCTAACCCGTAACCTTCCCAGCTGTTTGGGGGACGTCATTGTACAAATCGGCTGCTGTGTTTGCCCACAAAACACACAGTCACTGCGCTCGATAGTAAAATCTTGTGAAGCATTTGAGATGCCTCGAGGATGTGAATAGAACTGGACAGATGCAGGGATTGTGTGTTCTCATTAATTTAAAAGCTTTTTACCCGTCTGACCGTGTGTGTTTATTTTCAGATTATTGAGGGGAAAGCGTCGGTTTTTCTGGAGAGTAACACAATATCTGAGGCTTTGGGTCCCTTGGAAAAGCTTGTTGGATTTTCGATCTACGTCATTGTCAGCGTGATAACCCGCACAGGTAAACCCTGCAACTGTTTGGACACCCGGTTGATCACGGCGATGGGTTTCCGCGTGGGTCAGACACCCGGTTGATCATGGGATGGGTTTCCGCTTTGCGTGGGTGAATCAGCCAATTGTTTTATAAACTGCTTACACTTTGTAAGTTTCTTTTCTAATTCCCCACTTGTTTCTTCCAGGAAGTGATATGGTAGAAGCAGAAAACTCTGCCACCAAAATCGTCAAATCTCCATACGTAATACTGTTCACTAAAACACCAGAGTATTACAAACCAGGGATACCCTTTGACTTCATGGTAAACGTAACCCTTTTTTGTGTTTTCCTTTTTGCTTTAGTGCCGAGGGTGGGTGTGGGGGTGTATGGGGCTGTGTGTAGTGTGTGTGTGTGTTTTTATTAATAATTGCTTTTTTTAAAACTTTGGACCTTTTATTTTCCCGGCTCAAACTCCACTCTGCTCCTGGTCTGACCTCCTTATAGCTGGGATGCAGTTACCCCAAAAAACTAAGCCTGGAGTCTCACCACCTTGCCCCTTCCTCCCTCTTCTTCCCTCACCCCCCAATTTAATTTAAAGCCCATCTTGTTTCAACCACACTTATGATCACTCCGCCCCCACCACTATCCCGACACAGATGTGAACAGCATTGTGTAAAGGTTAAGTAGTTGTTGTTATTGTTGTTAAGGTCTCTGTCACAAACCCTGACGGTACCCCAGCCAGAAGAATCGAATTGTCTGGGAGTCATGATACGGCCCACAGCGAATCCATCACCGGACTCAATGGGAAAGCCAGAATGGTTATCAACACACCAGGATCGTCAACAGTTATCAAAATAACCGTAAGCACTCCACCACTTACTATTTCCAGTGCCTTTGGACCTCCTCCAGACGTGAAAAGCGCTTTGCAGTGTAATTTTGTTAATGTTGCTTCTTCTTTTATAATAATAATAATCCTGGCATTTGATACAGAGCCTTATCACGTCTTCGAGAAGCCTCAAAGCGCTTCACAGGATACACTGTAAAGTGAAGTGACTATATTTTGTGGGCGAAACGCAGCAGCCAATTGTGCACAGCAGCGTCGCACAAACAGTCGTGGATTGAGTGACCAGATTATTAATTTTTTAAATTTTTTTTATTTGTTTTCTTGAGGGATTATTATCAGGTGTGTGGAGTAAGGAAACTTGCTCAAGGTTTGTCCTGCTGGGAATCGAACCCAGGTCTCTCGCTTGCGAGGCAAATGCTGTAAACCACTGAGCTGCAGGACTCCAGGCCAGGGTTGAGGCCAGGAGACTGAGAACCCTTTTACTAAGTAGCTGGATGCTGTTATGTGGGGGTGGGGGAAGGGTAGGGCGGGTGTCGTGGAGGGATGAAATTGGATTCGGATGAAGAGCCTTGAATCAAATACAAGACTTATTATTAATGATTATTGGACTTATTTCGAGTTGTACAGTTACAGTGCAGCATTTAAGTTACATTTGACCTGACCTGTCCCTTGGCTCTGTCCTTCCATTGTGTGGTGCAGGTTACAACAAAAGATCCAGAGCTCCCAAACGAACGTCAAGCCACGGCCTCCATGGTTGCCAAAGCCTACAAAACGATGTTTAACTCAAACAATTACTTGCACATCAACCCCAAAGTGACAGATGGAGACAACCTGATCGTTTATCTGCACGTTCCGAAAGAAACTGCCGCCGTTACCGAGAAGATCAAGCACATCAGCTATATCGTATGTGCCTTGTGACTGCAGTCCTGGTGTAAAACTTGCCACTCCTGACCTCACCCGCGCCCCCAGCAGCACAGAGACCACTTGCTCCCTGTCACAGAACCTCCTCACACTCGCCTAGAAATCACTTTACGCCTTGGCACCTCCCTACCTCATCCATCTGCCAACACACACAAACCACACACACAAACAACACATACACACTCGCACGCGCCCTTGCCCTTGGCCAGCTCGGGTCACCTGCACCCCCTGTGTGTCAGAGGTGTGTTTTCAGCCAGTATTACCCTGTTCTGTCACTCACTGCCTCTGCCCCTCCACCTCCCGCCCCACCACCGCCTTCCCGGTCTTCAGATTGCTTCTGAAGGCTTTCCTCTTCAACCCCTCCTGCGCTCCCCTCCCCTCTCCTCTCCCCTCGGCTTTGTTAAGCAGCGTTCAGTGACGCTGCCCCTCGGGAAGACCACCGTGTAGATGTGAAGCAGCGTTGTATCAAAATAGTAAAAATCAAGCAAACTTTACCCCATAAAATCCTCTTTCTGGGGGGGGTGGCGGGCGGTTGTTATCTTTGTTCCTCAAATTATTTTTCCTCTCTCTCGCTCTCTCTCCTCTCGCTTTAGCTGATGAACAAAGGGGCGATCGTGAAAGTTGGGAAGCAGCCAAAGGACCCGGGGCAGACCGTGGTGACGATGACGGTTCCGATCACCAGTGCGCTGATCCCATCGTTCCGACTCGTGGCTTATTACTACATAGCTGTGGGAGGGAAATTTGAATCAGTGGCTGATTCCATCTCGATTGATGTGAAGGACACATGCATGGGATCGGTAAATATTCTGTTATGCTGGGGGTGGTGGGGGGGGGGCGTTGCTCGTGGGGGCCATATACGAGAGGTAATTATTTGATGCCTTGCCGAGGCCACCAAGTTGGAGGAGGTGGTGGGGGGAAGCATGTTCATTGCCATGATATCTGATCATCTGGAGCCCCTTTGACTCTTACAGCCTCTTGTTTGCCTCTTCTGTGTGTCAGCCTGGCTCAGTTGCCTCTAAGTCAGAAGGTTGTGGGTTCAAGCCCCCACGTCGGGACTTGAAATCACACAGTCTAAGTGAAGGAGGTCCAACCCTTTGGCTGCTGAGGGCCGGATGCTGGATTTGGGAACTGTCCCTTTGACTCTTCACAATAAGCAATATTTTTGCGTTTCCCTTCCTGAAACAAAGAATCCTATCGAAGTCCTCTGGTTTGAATTGTGTGCCTGTATTACTTCAGTTCACTTCATTTCGGTTACATTGCAAACCTTAGTTAGTCAATTTAAAAATTCAGACAAATTTTAAAACAATAATACAACCAGCAATGAGGTACTTGTCTCTGTGTCTCTCGGTGTATCTGTGTGTATGTGTGCGTCTCTCTCTGTGTGTGTGTGTGTGTGTGTGTGTGTCTCTCTCTGGGTGTGTGTCTCTGTCTCTCTCTCTGTGGGTGTGTGTGTGTGTGTCTCTCTCTCCCTTGCTGTGTGTGTGTCTCTCTCTCTGGCTGTGTGTGTGTGTATCTCTGTCTGTATGTGTTTCTCTGTGTGTGTGTATGTGTGTCTCTCGCTCTGTGTGTGTGTGTCTGTCTGTGTATCTCTCTCAGTCTGTGTGTGTTTCTCTCTCACTCTCTCTCTGGCTGGGTATGTGTCTCTGTGTTTCGCGCTCGGTCTGTGTGTGTCTCTCTCTGTGTCTCTATCTGTCTGTCTGCATATGTTTTTGTATCTCTGTCTGTATGGGGTGTCTCTCTATCTCTATGTCTGTCTCACTCTCCCTATTTGTTCATGTCTCTGGGACGTCCTCCCAACGTGAAAGGCAACATGAAAGGCGCTCTATACATGTAATTTTGTTGTTGTTGATGTCTCTGCATTTCTCTCCGTCTCTCTGCCTATCCAGTTACCGGTTTGAAAGTGATTGACAGGTTCTGCTGCTAAATGATGCCTTGTGATGCTTTTTTCTCCCAGTCGAGTCAGACCAAGCCAGAGCTCCAGACCGTGTTTGCGGGCCGGGCTGGGTGTGGTGTTTAAATCACCTTGGTCTAGTTGACGCTCCAATGCATTGCTGGGGTGGGATGCCTCAGGAGTCCTGTAGCAAAATCCTATGCACTCGTCTCGCAGGTGAGACTACCCGGGTTCGATTCCCGGGCAGGGCAAAACGTTAGGCAAGTTTCCTTACTCCACACACCTCTGTTTACCCAGGAGTAAGTTGGAACTTGGTTGTCAGTCGATTGGCGGATCACTTTTCTGGGAGTAATAATTCCTTCAATAAAATATAATAATAATAATCCCCCAAATAAAATTGGTCACTCACTCTACGGCAGTTTGTGGGGCACTGCTGTACTCAAACTGGCTTCTGCGTTTGCCCACAAAACACTCAGTCACTCCACTTCACTGTATATTCTATGAAGCGCTTTGAGATGTCTCAAAGCTGTGATAGGCGCTGTATCAAACTTAAGTATTATTATGATAATTACAAGCAGTATTATTATTACTACACAGCTCAAAATCACTGGGGCCAACGAAGGGGACAATAAGAAGATTTATAGCCCACGTCAAGCATTCAAGTTGAAAGTAACAGGCGATTCAGGAGCCAAGTTTGGTCTTGTGGCTGTGGATAAAGCCATCTACGTGCTGAATAACAAAAACAGACTGACTCAGAGCAAGGTGAGGATCCCGCTACACTATTCTGGGAACTAGAGTCTGATGTCCGTCCGGTTCGCATAGTTTTATCGTCTTCTGCTGACAGAATGTCGAACTTCCTTCAGAAAAAAAAACCTTTGTGCGATATTGACTCCAAATTTCCGCCAAATTGCTGTGCTTCGGGATAATGTCCTGGAGGTGCTTTGAATCGCCATCCTGACCTCCCCGGTGAAAGGCGCTGTATCAAAATGCCAAGATACCTGTTGTTATTGTTGTGATGAATAATGTTTTTTTTTAAACTTCCCGCGTGTGTTCCCTGTAGATCTGGAGCACAGTAGAGGAGAGCGACATTGGATGTACAGCAGGAAGTGGGCCTGATGCCTTTGGTGTTTTTAGTGATGCAGGTTTAGCTTTCACAGCAAGCAATGGGTTCAAGTCGACCACACGGACAGGTAGTGTTCGCTAGGACTTACAATACATTTTGACAATTCGTTGTGAGGTCAAACACGGGAGTGGAATCACATGGTCTAAACGAGGTCCAATCTGTTTGTTCAGATGGACAATTAAAGACATCTCCCGGTGTCCTGGCCAACCAATCATTTCCCCAAATAAAATCGATCGCTCACTTTGTGGCTGTTTGTGGGGACGTGGCCTGCAAATTGGCTGCTGGGTTTCGCCCACATAACACACAGTCTCACTCCACTTTACAGTGTATCCTGTGAAGCGCTTTGAGACATCTCGATGACTTGATAAGGCGCTGCATCAAATGCCAGGATTGTTATTATTATTAACTCTTTCAACATAGAAGTGTCTGTCAAGGAAATGCCATTGAAATTAAGATTGCACAGAGGTTCGGTTCAGATATTTCCCCTTCAATTCCATTCCCAGTTTTCCCCCGTCGGCCCTATTCTCCCTCACTTGGCAACCGCTCCAGTCACTGAGAAGCGCCCCTGACCTTATCTCACAAGGTCTCATCAATTACTGGATTAGGATTAAGGATTATTGTTATCAAGATTAGTTTGGATGAAGGCACTTTGACCCCGTTAATTTCATCCCAGCAGCACACCCGCCCGACCATTATCCCATTTAAACGAGCCCCAGTGTCCTGGCCTCAACTACCCATACTGGGGACTCGTGTGTATTTTGAAGGCGAAACATGGCCACCAATTTGCACACAGAGATGTCCCGCAAACAGCCATGGAGTGAATGAGCGATTGATGGCCAGGTCACCGGGAGAGAGAAGCTCATTGGGGAGACTGGTTGCATGTTACTGGGCCTGTATGAAGTGCAAACCATGAACCAGGTTAACAACACGTTATCATTACATATCAGACTGACAAGTTGGCTTTGGTTTGTTGCAGAACTCGGGTGCAAACAGATACAGAAGAGGAAACGTCGATCGCTCACTCTCATGAAGCTAAGGAGATCCAAAGGTATATAAGAGGAATCTTGCCTCAGTCGTGAGGGGAATAGTGAGGCCCAGTAGGGCTTGGGCTGTGTGGAATATCAACAGCGGCACAGATCTGTTAGGCCAAATGGCCTCCACCACTTGCTCAGTGCCGGCCAGCTCATCAGCTCATTACCGACCTCCCTTCCTTTCCTGTGCTGAGTGCACGAAGTCAGGTCAGCGGTGACCTGACCACCCAGAAGGCGGCCGTTTTCATCGGCCGATTGTGGATTTGCCTCTTGTGGTGGGAGGGGGCTAAAAGCATCTCAGTACTTCCCGCTCCGCTCCTGCAGTGACTATCCGTGTCCTGGGGTGACTGTATCCGTGTCCTGCGGTGACTGTATCCGTGTCCTGCGGTGACTGTATCCGTGTCTCTGGTTCTTTTAGAGAGCAAGTACTCAAACGTTTACTGAGATGCTGTCGGGATGGAATGAAGTCGATTCCAATGGCCTACTCGTGTACCTTCAGAGCAAGACGCATTAAGCAAAGCCGTGAATGTGTTGATGCCTTCCTGGACTGCTGCAACGCTTACCAGCAAAGGAAGAAATTAGAAGCAAGTAGTATGATGACATTAGCACGAAGTAAGTACATGATACTGTGCCGGCCTGCGACTTGGAACCAATGTAGTCGAGGCTGAGGGTCGGGGCAGGGAGGAAACAGATGGACAGAGAGGGGGAGGAAGGCAAAATGGTTGAATGCTCACCCATTGATGAGGTGGGGGCAGGAAAAAGGGCAGGCGGGTGGACAGCGAGGGGGAGAGAGAGAGAGAGTCCTGTAGCTCAGTGGTTAGAGCACTCGCTTTGCAAGTGAGAGACCTGAGTTCAATTCCAGGCAGAGGGCGAAACCTTGGGCAAGTTTCCTTACTCCACACAGAGCCTAATAATAATAATAATAATCCCTCCAAAAACCAAAATCAATAATAAATTGGTCATTTTCAATCCACGACTGTTTGTGGGACATTGCTGTGCGCAATTGGCTGCCGCGTTCGCCCACAAATATACAGTCAATTCACTTTACAGTATATTCTGTGAAGCGCTTTGGGACGTCCTCCCGACGTGAAAAGCGCTATATCAAATGCAAGGATTATTATTATTATAGAGAGGGGGATGTGGAGATGGTGGGTGGAGGGAGCTGAGGAAGGAAGCGGGTGGGTAGGGAGTGCCAAATTCCTGCGTGGTCCCACAAGCTTTTTTTCCTTTCCCCCCCATTCATCTCTTGCAGGCGACGATGATCAAGGTTATCGTCTGTATGAAGATATTTTCGCCCGAAGTAATTTCAGAGAAAGCTGGCTTTGGTACCTGTACGACATGCCCAAGGAGACTGACAGAGAAGGGTGGGTATCTGTTTCATTTAAAATCCCTGTTTATTTATCAGAAGTTGTAACCTCTGGCCTGTCTTCTCTGTTCTCCTTGCCTCTTGGGTCAAAAGAACATGGGTTCTGCTCACATCCCGCTCCTCTACCCACTCCCATTGCTCAGCTGGCTCTGGCCTCCTGCGCGACCCTGGTTCCCTCTGCTCCAATATCAGCAGCCATGCTTAAAGCCAATACTCCGAGACTCTGGAACTCCCTGCCTCCATCCCCCTCACCTCGCCCCCTCTTTGTCCATCTTCGGATCCCTCCTTAAGACCTTCCTCTTCATCTGTGTCTACGGTCACCTCCCACCAACTCGGCGTTCATGCTCTGCCACTGTCAAGCGCTCTGAGGCGCTACCCACTTGTACTGTGTTAAATGCAAGGTGTGGTAATGTCGCTGTGGAAATGTCCACTGAAAATAAGCCTCTTTCTGCTTAATCAGCTATGCTTCAAAAGAAATACCAGGTCACCTGCCAGACTCTATTACTTCCTGGGAGGTGCAGGCGGTCAGTATTTCACAGGATAAAGGTATGGACATCACACTGTTACGTTTGCTGCACCCCCCCCCCCCAAAAAAAATCCATCTATTTGGAAGGTTATGGGTTCAAGCCCCCTCCAACGTCTGGGACTTTGAGCTCGCAGTCCAGGCTACAATATATTTCTGAGGAGTGTTATGCACTGCAGTGCCACACGTCAACTCTCAGCCGCCACACACAGTCTGTTAAAGATGTTAAAGATTACCCTCTCTCCGCCCCCACCCCCGCCCAGCCCCCCCCCCGCCATGGCGCTGTTCGAAACGAAAAGGGAGTTTCTTTCCCCGATGTCCTGGCCAGCAATACCGCCAACAAAAATTGTTCGTCAACTTCACAGCAGTTTGCGGGGCGTCACTATGAGCAAATGGGCCGCCTACAGAAATAGTCACTCGCACTTGACGGTGAATTCTGTGAACCCCTTTGAGACATGAAAGGCGCTGTATCAAATGTGAGGGGTATTATTAATGTATTTGAACGAATGAACGTTTGACAGGGACGAGTGTGGTCTGACCCGACCTGCTTGTATCCTACAGGTATTTGTGTGTCTGATTCTTACGAGATGACAGTGATGAAAGACTTTTTCATTGATCTTCGTCTGCCCTATTCGGTCATACGGAACGAGCAAGTGGAAATCAAAGCCATTCTTTAACAATTACCACACCGAGAAGATTAAAGTAAGTTTTGTTCTTACTCAAGATTTTTATTTCAAAGTAAAATACAAAATGTTACCACAAAATACAAAGTGGAATTGAATCTAGGAACTGGAGAGAACGATCTTTCAAATGAGTCATCAATTCTATAGAAATGTAGGTGTCAGCTTGGCTCAGTCTGTAGCACTCTGGCCTGGGAATTAGATGATTGAGTCATTAAACCTCTCTCCCCGACTGTGGCCAGTTCAGATAGGCATTAAAGATCCCCCACAGTCACTTTCTAGTGTATCCCGCTGAAGCACTTTGAGGTGTCTCGGTGGTGTGATGAGGCGCTGTATCAAATGTAGGGATTACTGGTTTTATTACATATTCCTTTGAAGATCAGAAGACTGAGTGGGGATGTGATAGAGATATATAAGATGGCGGGAGACTTAGATAAGATGGACGGGAACGATTATTTCCAGGGGTACAGGGCATTATTTTACAATCAGAACCGGGAGATCTCGAACGGGGACGAGGAGGAACTTTTTCACATAGAGAGTGGTGGGAATGTGGCATTCTCTGCTGCAGCCAGCTGGGGAAGGAACCATGTGCCCCTTAAAAAAAGACTGGAGGCAATGTTGAGGGATATGGGGGAAAAGCTGAGATATGGGACTAAGGATAAGATGTAGGATCAACACTCCATCGTTGGAGTATAAACCCGAGCCAGTCTTGATGGGCTGAATGGCCTGTTTCTGAGCTGTACCTTCTGTGTATCTATTTATCACCCCATAAAAAGACCTGCATTTAATCTGCTTGTTCCCAGGTCCAAGTGGAGTTTCCATACAATGAACATATCTGCAGTGGGGCAACACCACAGAAGAGGTTCAAACAGACGGTTGAGATTCACCCAAAGTCTTCCGAAGCCGTGTTCTACACCATCATCCCTCTGGTGCTTGGAGATATTGCAATCGAAATAAAGGCCTCTGTCTATGAAGCTTTTGTCAGTGACGGAGTGAGGAAGACCCTTCGTGTGGTGGTGAGTGTCTGTATTTTTACTCCGAATCTCCATCATTCCCATCCTGAATCCTCGGCTCCTCCTTGTCCGTCTTCAGGTCATGACTGAACGCCTTCCTCCTCGACCATGCCAACACTCACCGCCCTTCTCTCCCCCGGCTTGGCATCATTGTTTATGCGATCCGAGACTTTATCCCACATGAAAAGAGATATGTAGATAGATATTTGGGGAGAACGGATTTGCAAGGCTATGGGGAGAGCGAGGGGGAGTGGGGTTGATTTAGATAGCACCAGACACAATGGGCCGATTGGCTTCCTTCTGTGCTGTATAATTCTATGATTCTATGATTCTTTCACGTCATGTGGATGTGTTGAACGCTTCACAGGAGAGACTGTTCAATGCAGTGGGTGAAGCCCCTGGATCTCATCCTTCAGATGAGCTGTAGAAACCTGACTCCCAGTCTGTGCTCTGTTCAGGCAGATGTTAAAGATCCCCACAGCGCTATTGGGAAAATAGAAGGGAGTTTCTCTTCCCCAATGTACTGGCCAACAATCCCCCAAATAATTTTAATCTTTCTGTCTTTGAAACGAGTTAAGAACTGGGAACTCACACAAATGTATTTTTTTTCTTAGGCCGAGGGCAAACAGGTGGAAAGAGTGCAGACTATCCCATTAGATCCTCAAGGTGTGTTTGATTTTTATTTACAATTATGCAGTACCCTTCACTTAGCCTAACTTCACAGGGATGGGGTCAGACATTGAGCAAAGGGAGGGGAATGAGGCACGTTCAAAGAGACTTTAAAGACAGAAAAGAAGGGGGTGGGGGAGTTGGGGGTTGGCATGCAACAGGATAGTGGAAGGAGAGAATTCCGAAGGTCAAGGGGCATGAGAACTGAAGGCTCGGCTGTCGATGGTGGGTCGCCACTGACATCACTTCCTGCACGTTGCACCCAGAAACAACAACAACAACAACAAGATTTCATTTATAGAGCGCCTTTCACGTCGGAAGGATGTCCCAAGGCGCTGGACAGTTGGGTCAGGACCCGAGCAGGGGGGAAATGGTCAGGATGAGGGGAGGGAAAGGAGGGTGCGAGGAGGGGTAGAGAGTCGAAACAGGAAGCACTCGCTGCACTTCACAGGGAAGACTCCACAATGCACTTTGAGATGTTTCGAGGTGATGGAGGGGTGGGGGAGAGATGAGATGCAAGGCCAACACAGTTTGGAAAATGATCATCAAAAAATATATAAACTATATTGATTTATTTTCCCTTCCTCTCTTCAATAGGTGTACGTAAAGAATTCCCAGTTGATAATAGAATCCCAGATAATGTGGTTCCAAACACAGAGCCCAGACTTCATCAGTGTACAAGGTACAGGCACCCAGGGTAGACTTCGCTTGACCTGTCTTGCTTTCAAGGTTAAAAAGAGGGACATTTTGTGACTTTTTTTTCACAAATCTCTTGACGTTTAAGAGTCTCTTGGGTTGAGTCAGCCTGTGTTTCAGTCGGTCGCACTCTCGCCTCTTGAACCAAAAGATTGCCCACACATTTATCAATCTAGGCTGGACCGTGCTAACTCCCTGTTTGCCGGCTTCCCCAACTTTTCCCTCCACAAACTGCAGATCATTCAGAACTCTACAGCTCGTGTCCTCTCCCGCACCAGGCTCCATGACCCTATCACCCCCACCCTCACCCAGCTCCACTGGCTCCCCATCCTCCCGAGGATAGAGTACAAAATCTTCGTCCCCACCTTCAATGTCCCCCATGGCCTGGCCCACTCCTACCTCTGACCTACCTCTTCGGCCACTCTCCTCTCCCTGCCGTCCAAGCCCTCCTGATTGCAACCCCTAGCTCAGGTCCAAATCCCTGACTGTCCAGCGCCTTGGGATGTCCTCCCAACGTGAAAGTTGCTGTGTAAAGTCATTTGTTCTTGTTGCTGAAGATGTTGTGGGTTCAACCCCCTCCCCCCAAGTTGGGGACTTGGAGCTCACAGTCTATGCTGCTTGCCTCACCCCTTTATCTATCGAACTCCCACCTTAACACTTACCTCTTTGATTGTGCCTACAGTCCCCTGGCCCCATCCCCTTCTCCCTCGCTCTGAGTCTGACCCCAGCCACTAGGACTCTACCCCTTGTGAAGGGCCCTGTGTAAATGTAAGTTGTTGTTGTTTTTGTTCTGCTGAACCAACAAAACAGGGAGCGTGCTGGCTGAGACCATTGAAAATTCTATTGATGGGAGTAGGCTGAAACATCTAATCCGACAGCCAACTGGGTGTGGCGAGCAGAATATGGCCTCCATGACCCCCGGGGTGATTGTCACTCATTACCTGGACCAAACCGCTCAGTGGGATAAAGTGGGCCTGGACCGCAGAGAGACTGCGCTAACCTACATAAGGAAAGGTAGGCGATCACCAGCGAGAACCCCCAGCCTCAACTGCTCTGCTTCACTTCCTCTTTGCCTGTCATCAGGTCGGCCTGAAGGCTTCTCTCTTCAACTGCGTCTACAGTCACCTTCCCTTTCTCCCCACTCGGGCTCAAACTCCACCACTGTTAAGTGTTCCCAGACGCTACCCTGAGTGAAGGGTGCTGTGTGAATGCAAGTTGTTGTTGTTCTCCTAATCTTCCTCCTCCACATTTGCCACACTTCACTACATTATAATCAGCCAACGTCCTCCACCAATTATAACCTCACTGCCACCTGGTCAGGCTATCAGCCCCTCTGTCCCACGCCTTGAAGCTCCATCCCAGAGTCGTTCCAACTCACATCTTTCCCCACTCACCTCGTCTCCCAAACCAAGCTCGGGTGCACAGCCAGGGTTGTTGAAGCTTCTCGGTCCATCCTCCCAATGTGAAAGGCCCTGTGTTACAGTAAAGTTTGGTTTTGCTCTCAACTGTAGGTTACACTCAACAGCAGGCTTTTCGCAAGCCAGGAGGATCGTATGCAGCCTTCATCAACCGCCCTTCCAGCACCTGGTACGTCAGTCAAGTCAGTCTTGTCTGCAGTTTGTACAGGCCGCCAAGCTCAACTCGTCCACATCAGTTCCCCCCGCGCCTACTCCCCTTTCCTTATATCCTTCTATTTCCCTCTCCTATGTCCTTATAATAATTGTTGTATTTGACGCAGCACCTTATCACGACTTCGAGACATCTCAAATTGAGTGACCCAATTCAATATTTTTTTGAAGGAATTATTACCCCCGGAAAAGCGATCCGCCAATCGACTAACAACCGGGTTCCTACTTACTGCTGGTAAACAGAGGTGTGTGGAGTAAGGAAACTTGCCCAATGTTCGCCCTGCCCGGGAATCAAACCCAGGTCCTCTCGCTTGCGAGGCGAGTGCTCTAACCACTGAGCTACAGGACTCCAAAATCCTTCTATTCCCCTCTCCTACACCCCTCTATTCCCCTCCCCTGCGGGGGTCGTGGGGCTAATTGTGACTCTGTGTCTCGCCAGGCTGACCGCGTATGTGGCGAAGGTGTTTGCAATGGCCCAAAGTCTGATCTCAATAAAAGCTGAGGTTTTGTGCGAAGACCTGAAGTGGCTAATATTAAGGAAACAGAAACCTGACGGGATCTTTATGGAGGACGCAGCTGTGATTCACCTCGAAATGCAGGTAAATAAAACTGGGGAGAGAGAGAGTGCCACACATCAGGGACCCTGACCCTTCAGATGAGACGTTGAACTGAACTTCCCCATCTGTGCCCTGTTTGTGTTGTTGGAAAAGAGAAGGGAAAAGAGTTTGCTCTTCTGTCTGTCTGTCTGTCTGTCTCTCTCCAAGTGTCATGGCCAACACGACCCTTCCCTCTTTCCCCCCCCCACCGCCCCCCAAATAAAGTCATTCACTTCAGGGCTGTGTGCCAGGTGTTGCTTTGCACAAATTGGCCACTGTGCTTGCTTACAACATACACAGTCACTTCACTTGACAAGGGGAGTTTTTCTCTCTCTCTCTCTCTCCCCCGGTGTCCGGGCACACAATTCCCCACCCCTCTCCCCCCCAAATAAAGTTGGTTACTCACTCTGGTGATTCGTGGTGTCGTCGCTGTGCACAAATCAGCTGCCATGTCCCCCCACAAAACATACAGTTATCACACTTTACATCCCTGTGAAGGGCTTTAAGACGCTTTGTGAACGTGTGAAGTTGTTGTATCAAACGGAAGATTATTATTATTAAAAGCCGACGATGAGATTTAAGGTGTCGGTCGCGAGGGGTAAGGGCACGTCATCGAATGCGAGGATTGTTACCGTAACACTTTAACCGATTTCTCTAGGGAGGAGTGCACGGGGCTGAAAATGATGCCTCGTTGACTGCGTTTGTTCTTATCGCAATGATTGAGGCCAAAGATCTCTGCTCAAGAAGCATAGGGGTAATGTATTTCAGTATTACAATTTAACATTGTTCCCAGGAAAAGGGACCGACAAGCATTGATAACCGGGATGAGTGGTTTGGCTGATGAGCAGTGACAGGAGGAACTGGGACTATTTCTGCTGGAGCAAAGAAGGTTGAGGCACGACCTGATCGAGGTCTTTAAAATGCTTTAAAAGGGAGAAATGATTTCTATTGGTTGGTGAGTCAGTGACTGGAGGGGTGTCAATTTAAGATAGTTAGCAAACGAGTAAAAGGGGAGTATTTTTCCCCCGAGTGGCTAGGATGTGGAACGTGCTGCTGGGAGCCGTGGTTGAGGCAGAATCCACATTAGCTTTCCGAAGGGAAATGGATGGATATCTTAAAAGGGATTGGACTGTAGAGGGCACCACTGATGGGCCTGACCTCCCCTCACAACCAGTGGAGGGCCCAGGAGCAGTGAACCCTGACCCTCAGCAATGATCCTTCTCATGGCCAAGCCCCGGGTTGGAAAGGGGACCCGATGGGATGATTTGATTTCATTTCGATTTTAACTAACGATGAATAATCTTACGTCGACATTCGTTCCAGAGTTATGAAAACAGCATCCAGAAAGCCGGTACCTATTTGGAAGGCCGTATTGCCAAGCTGACCCGCGCGTACTCCGTGGCCATCACTACCTACGCCTTGTCGCTCTTGGGGATACACAAGGACGACATTCTGATGAAGTTCGCCTCCGAGGGTAAATTTTTTTTTCTTTCTCTTTCCCTCTGGGCGAACCCCAGTTACAAGGTGGTGTTTTTGCTCCGTATAATTACTCTCCAAACTTACAATGGCTTCCCCCTGTAATTCGCTTCCCCCGTAATTCAGTTCCCCCTTTAATTTGGTTCCCCTCTAATTTGCTTCTGTTTGAACTTCCCTGCCATTCGCCTGGACCTTCCTCTCGGTTCTAGATGGAACCTACTGGGCAAAAGCCAATCAGGAGAATTCCATGTACACCATCGAAGCCACAGGATACGCTCTGCTCGCATTACTGCAACTGGAGAAATTCGAGCAAACTGGTAAAATCGTGAGGTGGATGACTGCGAAGAGAGATTATGGTGGCGGCTTCAAATCCACCCAGGTTACGTTTTGTTTTTCCATTATAAAGTGAATTAATTTAAAAGACATCGAAAAAATAACACTGGGGTGGGGCGGGGCGTGGTGGGAGGGGTGGGGTTGCTCAGCCTGTGTCACCCTCTCATCGCTGTGGTCAGAAGGATGTGGGTTTGAGGCTGGGGAGGGATAGGGGAAAGATGACCACAAGCACGGTTATAGGGCTAAGTCTTGAGACAGACGTTGAACGAGGGAGAGTGCGAGCGAGTTGGTGGGACTCTGGCTTGGGGAGCAGAACAGTTGAAAGCCCAATGGGGTGTGTTTGGGAGGGGATGGGGAAGAAGCCAGTTCACTGAGCGAATCGAACAGCCTGGTCAACAGGGTTGAAGCAGGTCCGGAGGTCGGGTGGAGATCATGGATAAGATTTGAAGACAATTACTGGCGGGCAATAGATAACAACCACAACAAGATTCCATTTATAGAGCGCCTTTCACGTCGGGAGGACAAAATATTGCATCTATTTAGCGCTCCTCATGCAGAGAAGTATCCCAGAGCATTTGAGATAATGGCAATTAAAATAATGCCAGTCTCTTCTGATTGGAAATGGTTTAATGAAACTCTTTCTCTCTCTCTCTCTCTCTCTCTCTCTCAGGCCACCTTTGTTGGTTTGCAGGCTCTTGCTGCATACCTGATTCAAATGCCCGATTCCAAAGCTGTCAATATGGATGTCACCCTGACCATCAAGGGCAGGCAAAATTCCATTCCTGGCATTTTAACACAGAAAATGTGTATGTAGCGAAATCTGAAAAGGTTAGTGCTTATATAATATAATTTACACTTACACCGTGCCTTTCACATTGGGACAATGCGTTGCCCCTTCCTTACCCATCTACAGGTCGCGCCTGAAGACCTGAGGCTTACGGTCACCTCCCACCGGCTCGGAGCTCTACTCTGCCACTGTCCAGCTCTCTGGGACCCACCCCGCTCTGCATGAGTGAGGGGCGCAAGTTGTTGCTGTTGCATTCAATCTTGTGCTTCGATTGAGACAGAGCTCTCTCTCTGCTCTGTTCAGGCAGATGTTAACGATCACCTACCGGGGAACATCCTCCTCCCCCACCCCCCCGAATAAAATTTGCATTAAATTCCTGGCTGTTTGCGGGACATTACTGAACATAAAAAATTGTGTTGGCCTACAAAACACACAGTCACTATGCTTTGTGAAGCACTTTGCGATGGGGGGGGTTCTGACTCTTTTAATATTCTATGTTTTTATGTTCCAGATCAACATCAATCAAAACTTCACTGTCGCAGTGACAGGTCAAGGCCAGGGGATGCTAACAGTGAGTTCAGTTAGTTCAGGGAAATTTACTATTCATGAGTTTGTTTCTCAAGAGGAATTCTCATCCCAGGTGTCGGAATTCCAGGCTCCGGGAATTGTCGGATGCAGGTGGGAATGAGATACAATACAATCGGCTGAGCGGAGGGATCGGGCAGGTTGGCAGTAGGTTAGGAGGTCACCGAGGTAAGGAGGAGCAAGGCCATGGAGGGCTTTGATGATGAGGACCAGGATCTTGAACTGTATCCTCTATGTGATGGGAAGTCAGTGGAGTCGGGCGAGGATGGGGGTGAAGGGTCACAGAGGCCGGTGCGGGAGAGGACACGGGCTGCAAAGTTCTGGATGATCTGCAGCCTGTGGAGGTAGAGGTGGGAGGCCGACAAGCAGAGAGTTTGTGTGGTCGAGCCTGGATGTGATGAATGTGTGTATGAGGGTCTCGGGCCTGCGGTGTGAGACAGTGGCGGAGCCGGGCGATGTTGCGGAGGTGGGGGAAGGTGGAGCGGGACACGGCACAGATGTGAGGGATGAAGGACAATTGAGGGTCGAATAGGATGGTGAGGTTCCATATTGGCTGCGCGAGTGTAGAGGGCATCCATGAAGGGTGATGCCCGAGGTATGGAGACGCTGACGGGAGCCAAGCAAGAGATCTTGTTGGCATTCAACTGGAGGAAGCCCATCTGAGATGGACGAGGGGGAGAAGGGAAGGACTTAGAGATCACAAATCCAGCTCCAGCTGATCGCCCGCCCCTCATTTCAGCATTTTTAAAAAAAAAACTTATCTTCCCCCTTTGCTAATTATCTGAACCTGATATATTTGTGGGCTAAGTTTCTGCTGTAACTGAACCTCCCACATCCTTTCCCTGAAGGTGACGACCATTTACAACGCTTTATTGACTGAAAAAGCCAAGGAGTGCCAGAAATTTGACTTGCAAGTTACTGTGGAAGAGGTTTTTCCAGGTAAGCACCACAGTATCCGACCAGTGTCAGCGTCGGTGTTCCTATAGCATCAGAAGTAAGGATTGGGGAGTCCTGTAGCGTAGTGGTTAACACACTCGGAGGGAGGGAGGGAGGGAGGGGAGTCCTGTAGCGTAGTGGTTACACACTTGGAGGGAGGGAGGGGGGGAGGGAGGGAGGGAGGGGAGTCCTGTAGCGTAGTGGTTAACACACTTGGAGGGAGGGAAGGAGGGGCCCAGTTTTGAGACCAGAAGTACATGGAAATGGCCAGTGACCAAAATTTAAAAATGGCCATTATCTGAGGCACCATCGGCATCACATTCGGGATAAATCGGAGCCGGAATCGGGAAGTGGAGGGTGGATATGCCGTACAAACAGAATCTTCCTTTACATTGTTACAGAAAAAAAACCACAAGGCGCCCTGAGCTCTGTATTGATAAACGTGTGTGCACGGTAAGTGGACTGAATATTAATCAATACATGACCAAATTGTACAATATTTCCCCTGACAATAAACAGCGCTGTGGGCGGCCGAGCAGTTCCTGAGCGTGAATTCAGGGGGGAGTTCAATTTAACGCGTTCAAATTGCTGCCTTATAAATGCATTTTCTAAGCCCGTTACTCAGACCCCCAACTCCCGGCACCGACCAGCCAGCTTCTCGCTCTAAAGAAAACGTCCGACTCCCTGATGGTCAGGTTTGCCCCCGTCACCCCGGCCTGTGTGCAGGAAGTCATGTCGGCAGCGACCAGGAAGCCGATCCAGAAGTTGGCTGTTTTTTTTTCACTTCGGCCTCTTGAGATATTCGACCAAGACGCTTTGTGTGTTCCTGTTTAGGAATCTGGAAGAGAAAGAGGTGACAATGACCATCGCGGATATTTCCATGTTAACGGGATTTTCTCCGGATTTGGATGATTTGAAAGCGGTAAGATTGCATTTCTAAATTGATGGGCAGTCTAAGGATTTTAACACTATAATAATAACACTCCTCACATTGGCCCAGTGACTTTCACGTCAGGAGACCTTCACTGTTCAGTGGAGTGCTGTAGCACGTTAGTTAGGGCACTCGCCTCGCAAGCAAGAGGACCTGGGTTGATTCCCAGGCAGGGCGAAACCTTGGGCAAGTTTCCTTATTTCACATGCCTCTGTTTATCCTACAGTAAGCAATTATAATGATTTGGTCACTCAATCCGCGACTGCGTGGGGGACACTGCTGTGTGCAATTGGCTGCCACGTTTCGCCCACAAAATATACACTTTACAGTATATCCTGTGAAGCAAGCACTGAGATGTCTCAATGACGTGATAATGCGCTGAATCAAATGCAAGGGTTATTATTAAGCGAGTCGGAGAATATGGCAGCTTTCTATAAAATGCCTTAAGTGTACTTGTCGGCAGGTAAGTTATGCTGTAATTTGAAGGTGAATATCTTAACAATATCTTTTCAAGATGGAGGTAGATAAATATTTGTTAGGTCCGGGTGGTAAGGGATATGGGACAAGGGCGGGTAACTGGAAATGTCAGCACAGGCTCGATGGCTGAATAGCCTCCTCCTGTTTCTATATGTCTATGTATCTATGTATTAGTAATGATCTTAGTCACAAATAACAAGTTGTTTGATAAGTTGATATATTTTATTGATCTGTGGGTTCTTTGCAGATTTCAACTGGTGTCGATCTGTACATATCAAAGTTTGAACTCAACAAAGATACATCACGCAAAAGTTCCTTGATTATTTATCGGATAAAGTAAGACACGACACATATTTGTATCTTTTTACCGAATATTCCTCTTATTTTTTTAAAAAAAACTATTTATGTAACCAGAGGTTTATCGTGCCCCCATCCGCCCTTGCCCTTCACTGATGACGTCGCTTCCTGTGCCTTGAGGTAGTTGGTTGTGAGGGACGATGGCGGAAGGGTGGGGTTTGTCCTATATTTGGAGCTATAATTACAATTCTCCAATTGGGTTTCCTTAAACCCCTTAAAAATAATCTGTAAAGGAACCATCAGCCCAAAGTGTCTGCTCATATTTCTGCTTGGAAACCCCCGCAGGTCTCCCGTGATGAAGACACTTGCTTTGCATTTAAAGCACATCAGTACTTTAAAGTTGGTTTCATGCAACCAGCTGCAGTTGAGGTGTACGAATACTATGATTCAGGTGAGTATTTACAGGACCGGTGCCTCTATACCAGAGCCCTCACCACCCTCCCTCTCCCCACGCATTGATGATCTGGATTCACCGACCCAGTGTGAGGTACTTACATTTACAGATGACATCAAGTTAGGGGAAAAATTGCAGAACCTGAGGAGGCAGCAAAGGGTCTTGGGCTGATAAATGGCGAATGAAGTTTAGTGCAGATATCTGAAACTCCATCCCGGAGGCTCTCTGACACCCCACCCCGCACATCACCATCTTGTTCAAGGCCTGGCTCAATATGCGTCTCTTTGACCTTCTGCCCGCCTCTCCCCACCTCAGCTCCCATATTCCACCCAAAGCGCGGTCAAAAAGATACGTTTTGAGAAGGGCCTTGACCGAAACAAGGGAGGGAGTGATTTGCCAAAGGGGGAAGCTGATAAAAACTGTCTATTTATGCTTTATGTTTCTTTTTTGTTCTAATATCCTCAGCAAACAGCTGCACATCGTTCTACAACTTAAAGGCAAGCAACGCCATGCTTGGTAAGATTTGTCACAACGAGATCTGCAGATGTGCAGCAGGTAATAAATCCAGACTTTCTCTCTCCTTGAACACTGTGAGTTTTCAGATGGCTTTGTCCATCAGTCCCATTGTGTAAAGATTCGATCTGGGCGCTGGTCTTGTCAACTTGGCTCAGTGGGTCACGCTCTCGCCTCCGAGTCAGAAGATTGCCCATACGAAAGGGGAGTTAGAACTCATCTAGTCCAGGCTCAGGCTCCAGTGCGTTGCTGGGGGCTGAGCACCACATTGTGAAAAGTACCCTTTCAGGAGAGATGTTGGGGGAGTGGGAGCAAAAGTAGGAAAATAAACTTCCTAACCTCCCCATTGGCTCCTTTACAAATTATTGTAAATCAACACCCTCTTGTCACTTTCCTTTGGAGAGATTTAACTGAAAAACTGGACCCATTGACCACAGTGATGTGAGGATATTAATCTCTCTTCTATTCTTCCCGATAGAAAACTGTGTTTCGCTACAGAAACCAAACGACAGATCGATAACTGCTGATATGAGACAATACCAGGCCTGCCTTCCGGAAGTTGATTTTGGTAATTATTTTTTCTGTCAGACAACAACTGTCTGATATTATCCCACCTCGTGGCTCAGTCACTCACACTCTTGCTTCTGAGTCAGGTCATGGATACATGCCACGTTGGGGACTTTGAGCTCACAGTGTAAACCCGAGGATCTGGTGCAACGCTGGGGGGAGCACCACATTGTCGGAGGCGCCATCATCCGAATGAAACATTAAACTGACCTGCCTATTCGGGTGGATGTTAGAGATGTCTCCTGTGATGCTATTCGAAAAGAGAAGGGAGTTTAGTTTCTCTCTTTCCCCTAGTTTTCTGGTTTACAAACCCCAAGATAAAATCAGAGACTCATTACAACGGCTGTTTGTGAAGACATCACTGTGCCAAATAGTCTGCCATGTTCACCCACAAAAACACAGTCACTGCACTTTACAGTAAATTCTGTGAAGGGTTTTGAGACGTCTCACTGACATGAAAGGTGCTGTATTAAATAACAGTCCTTATGTTTGATACAGTGCCTTGCAGGACATCTCTATAAAGTGCCTCGCAAGGATTCAATTGAAGCATTGTTATTAATAATTATAATTTCCACTGATTTCTAGTTTACAAGATACGATTCCTCGATAAGGAAGAAAAAGAGGGTTACGATTACTACAGTTTCAAAGTCCTGACAGTGATTAAAGCCGGTGAGACAATCAGCAGTTCAAATTGTTACTTGTCTAATTCGCGCAGAAACCCATCACCGTGATCAGCCGGGTGTCTGAGGGACAGGGAAAGCCATCACTGTGATCAGCCGGGTGTCTGAGGGACAGGGAAAGCCATCACTGTGATCAGCCGGGTGTCTGAGGGACAGGGAAAGCCATGTGGAGTCCTGTGGCTCAGTGGTTAGAGCACTCGCTTTGCAAGTGAGAGACCTGAGTTCAATTCCAGGCAGAGGGCGAAACCTTGGGCGAGTTTCCTTACTCCACACAGAGCCTAATAATAATCCCTCCAAAACCAAAAACAATAATAAATTGGTCATTTTCAATCTACGACACTTTGTGGGACATTGCTGTGTGCAATTGGCTGCCGCGTTCCCCCACAAATATACAGTCAATTCACTTTACAGTGTGTTCTGTGAAGCGCTTTGGGACGTCCTCCCGACGTGAAAAGCGCTATATCAAATGCAAGGATTATTATTATTATCACTGTGATCAGCCGGGTGTCTGAGAAACCCATCACTGGCAAAGATAAAATGAGTCATGGTGTCCGGCTGTGAATATTCCTCTTACAGGGAGTGACGAGGTGGTGGAGGGAAATGACAGGTTCTTGGTGTCACACGCCAGCTGCAAAGAGACGTTTGTGGTGGATCTGCAGGTCAAGGATTATTTGATTATGGGTTTTCAGAAAGATCTGTGGCCGATGAAAAATGGGTGAGTTGCAAATTCTGGCTTCTATTCTGCCTTTCAGCCCATCCATCGCCTGATCCACACACTCCTCCTGATCCACACACTCCTCCTGATCCACACACTCCTCCTGATCCACACACTCCTCCTGATCCACACACTCCTCCTGATCCACACGCCTCCTTATCCACATGTCCATGTAATTCTCTACATCCATGGCTGCAATGTCCAGTTACAAATTGGAGGCGATGCCCGGTCAATCCTCACGGGTTACAAAATATCTTAATTTCAGAATGACCTACGTGGTCACGAAGGGGACCTGGGTGGAATGGTGGCCGAACAACGAGGAGTGTCAGGCTCGGACTTACAGAAGCCTCTGTGAGAACCTGATAGACTTTTCAGACACCCTGCGGGACTTTGGATGCACCACTTAAACACGCTCTGACTAACCACATCCAACAACAGCCCTCGCATTTGATACGGCGCCTTTTCACGTCAAGCCGCCTCACTGAGCTCCACGGGGGGGGTTTGCGCTGTGACTGTGTCGGAGGATTTTCACCGCAGCGTCCGGCTGACGGGAAAGGCTCTGTATCAAAAGTAATTTTAATCAATAAAGTGCCGGCGTGCGATCGCCTCGGGGAAGAGTCTCGAAGCGCCTTGCGGGGATTTTCCCGTGTGTCGTGTTAATTTTGTGCTGGTGGTGGTGGTTGTGACTGTGATTTGAGGGCTTTCGTGTCGTGACTTGTCGTGCGCGTGACATCATTTTGGGAACCGACAATAAAAAGCAGCTGAAATCAAACCAGTCTGTGTCAATTAATAAATGATTACCCCACCCACCCCCGGCATGACCTGCTTACCATCGGGTGGGGGGGGGGGGGTTAGGGTTTCTGCCTCTACTCTCTGGAACTCCATCCCCTTCCTCCCCTCTCTCTGACTCGCTCCCTCCTGAACAGCGCACAGATGGGGAACTCGACGACATGAAGGCGCTATGTAAATGTAATTTTGTTGTTGTTGTTAACATCTCATCCGCAGGACGGCGCCTGTGATGTTGCTTCCCTCCCCCAGCGCTGGGCTGGAGCATCAGCCTGGAGTTTGAGCTCAAAAAAGTCCCCAAACCTTAGGTTGAGGGTTGACAGGAGTGGGGGGGGGGTTGACATTTGCAGAATGATTGGCTTTAATCTGACTGAAGGTCAGAGATTGAGGATTTATAAGCAAGTGAGAGGCTTGTGATCTCGGGGGAGAGAAACACTTGCTTTTTAACTAAAGGAATTTATGTAAAGCTCCTGTGAGGGAGACTGACTGGCCCAGCAATCCTGTTACTTTTCAACCTCAATGTCAGACAGACAGGCAGGGCGGGCAGGACAGGCAGGCAGGGCGGGCAAGACAGGCAGGCAGGGCGGGCAGGACAGGCAAGCAGGGGGCGGGCAGGACAGGCAGGCAGGGCAGGCAGGACAGGCAGGCAGGGCGGGCAAGACAGACAGGCAGAGCGGGCAAGACAGACAGGCAGGGCGGGCAGGACAGGCAGGCAGGGCGGACAGGCAGGCAGGCAGGGCAGGCAGGACAGGCAGGCAGGGCGGGCAAGACAGACAGGCAGAGCGGGCAAGACAGACAGGCAGGGCGGGCAGGACAGGCAGGCAGGGCGGACAGGCAGGCAAGACAGACAGGCAGGGCGGACGGACGGGACTCGAAGGGGAAGGGGAAGCGGGTTGGTTATTGGCTTGTTTGTGGGAGGGAGAAAGGTCAACCTCTTTAGAGTCATCACTACTGAACATTGCCACAGTGTGAGACAGAGAGTGTGTGTCACAGAGAGAATGAGACAGAGTGTGTGAGACGGAGAGTGTGTGAGACAGAGAGAGTGAGACAGAGTGTGAGACAGAGAGTGAACCACAGTGGGAGACAGAGAGAGTGAGCCACAGTGTGAGACAGAGAGAGTGAACCACAGTGTGAGACAGAGAGAGTGAACCACAGTGTGAGACAGAGAGAGTGAACCACCGTGTGAGACAGAGAGAGTGAGCACAGTGTGAGACAGAGAGAGTGAGCACAGTGTGAGACAGAGAGAGTGAACCACAGTGTGAGACAGAGAGAGTGTGATAGAGGGTGAGACAGACCGTGTGTGAGTGTGTGAGACAGACGGAGAGTGTGAGAGAGAGTGAGCCGCAGTGTGAGACAGACGGAGAGTGTGAGAGAGAGTGAGCCGCAGTGTGAGACAGACGGAGAGTGTGAGAGAGAGTGAGCGCAGTTGGAGGACGAGCCGGAGGGAAGAAGGAGAAAATGAAATGCGACAAACCACAAGTATGAACTTGTGACAGTGGTTATGGTTAACTCAGTCCCTGGGTGTTCTGCTGATTCTTTTTAATGCTGAAGAGAAATCGGTCTTATCTTTATATTTTATGTAAATATATATTTATTATAACAATTTACTGCATTGTGTGTGTGTGTGTGGGGGGGGGTCAGTTTGTGGGGGCTGTGTGTGACTGTGTGTGGGGGTGTCTGTGTGCATTTATGTATGTGTGTCGGGGGGGGGGGGGGGGTGGAATCTAAGTGTGTGTGTGTTCGTGGGGAGTTTGTGTGTCTGGGGGGGGCTTTCATTGTAGAAATTGGTTTTAATGTGCTGGGGTTTTGAAGACAGAGGTGGGTGGGAGGGGAGCGGGCAAGGCAGGGGGGGGTTGGCAGAGGGGACGGTAGGGAGGGTTGCAGGGGGAGGGGTGGCAGGGGAGGGTTGGCAGTGTAGGGGTGTCAGGGAAGGTTGGCAGGGGGAGGGTTGCAGGGGGGGTTGGCAGTGGAGGGGTGGCAGTGGAGGGGTGGCAGGGGAAGGTTGGTAGGGGAGGGGTGGCAGTGGAGGGGTGGCAGGGGAAGGTTGGCAGGGGGAGGGTTTGGCAGTGGAGGGGTGGCAGGGGAAGGTTGGCAGGGGAGGGGTGTCAGGGGAGGTTGGTAGGGGAGGGGTGGCAGTGGAGGGGTGGCAGGGGAGGGGTGGCAGGGGAGGGGTGTCAGGGGAAGGTTGGCAGGGGGGAGGGTTGGCAGTGGAGGGTTGGCAGGGGAAGGTTGGCAGGGGAAGGTTGGCAGGGGAGGGGTGGCAGTGGGGGGGTGTCAGGGGAAGGTTGGCAGGGGAAGGTTGGCAGGGGGAAGGATTGGCAGTGGAGGGGTGGCAGGGAAGGGTTGGCAGGGGAGGGGTGGCAGTGGAGGGGTGGCAGGGGAAGATTGGCAGGGGGAGGGTTGGCAGTGGAGGGGTGGCAGGGGAAGGTTGGCAGGGGAGGGTTGGCAGTGGAGGGGTGGCAGGGGAAGATTGGCAGGGGGAGGGTTGGCAGTGGAGGGGTGGCAGGGGAAGGTTGGCAGGGGAGGGTTGGCAGTGGAGGGTTGGCAGTGAGGGTGGCAGGGAAGGTTGGCAGGGAAGGTTGGTAGGGGAGGGGTGGCAGTGGAGGGGTGGCAGGGGAGGGGTGGCAGGGGAGGGGGGGTGGTATTGCCTGACGGCTAATGTACCTCTCATATGGCTCCTGAATCAGACTCGGCTGATTGTTTGTTTGTAGATGATGTTCCGCAGCCCCTCACGGTCCTCCTGTTCCTGCTCCTGACCACCTCCGCTGCCTGGTGTCCTGCAGCGAGTTCGTCCATCTCCTGTTACAGCGACTCCGGGAATCCCGTGGACTGGTAAACCCGGCTCCAGAGTGCTGTATACTGGGGAGTGTGTGTGTGGTATGTCTTCTACATGTGTGTGTATGTGGTGTGCGTGTTGTCTGTATGTGTGTGTTTCTGTGTACATCACCACGACTGTTCGCACCACTGCTCCCTCGATCCCATCCCCACCTCTCTCCTCGTCTCCCAGCTCCACCTTCTGGCCCCCACTCCTGTCCGATGTCATCAATCTCTCCCTGTCCACCGGTTCGGTTCCCACCCCCCGAAAAACAGCCGTCATCACCTCCATCCCGACTCCGCTCCTTTCTCTCTCGCCGTTCCCTCTTTAAACCCCTCCAATCCGGATTCCGCGCTGCCCACAGCACGGAAACAGCCCCGGGGGTCACAGTCACTGATGACATTCTGAATACCTGTGATCAGGGGCTCCCTCTGCCTCCTTGTCCTCCTCGATCAATCCACGGCTGTTTGTGGGGACGCTGCTGTACGCCGTACAGATGCCAGGATTATTATTATTATTATTATTATTCAGGTTCATCGTTTACAAACTGCCCAAACGCAGCAGTCTGACTGGGCTCAGCTACATGTACCAGGACTCTACCACCAAGGGCTGGAAACCGGGGAATTACTTGATAAACAATACACAGGGAGCTGTGGGCCGCACTCTGACACAAGTCTATAAGCAACGTCAAGCTCAGGTAAGGCTCCCGACCTCGCCAAGTCCTGGCTGAGAGCTAACTTGCTCTAGTTCAATGTCAGCAAGACCGAGGCTTTCTTGATTGGCTCCCGTCAGCGCCTCCTCACCTCAGGCGCTGACAACATCACCGTCCATTGCTCACTCCACCTCACTGAGTCAGTCCCGAACCTTGGGGGTCTTGTTTGACCCTCACCTATCCCTTCTACCCCACATCCGTGCCATGACCTGCTCTGCCTTCCCCCACCTCCGCAACATGACCCGGCTCCGCCACTGTCTCACGTCGCAGACCTCCGAGACCCTCATAGAAAGAAGGTTCTTTCTCTCTGCCCCGGAGACTTGGGCCAACAAACCCCCAAGTGAATCCTTCCTTCACTTCATGGTTGTTGGAGGGAAGTCGCTGTGTGCAAATTGGCTGCTGTGTTTGTCCCCAGAAAGCCAGTGCGGTACTGTCCGCTCAGTGAATTTTAGGTGAATTTTGATGTGAAACAACTGATAACCGAGATTTCTCCTTCACTTCACCAGAACCAAGAGACAGCGTATGTGCTGTATAACGATCAGTCTACTAAACACTCGGAGAGCAACTACGGCCACACTAAAGGTAGGGAGTGAACACTCGACAACCTCATCTGACTTTACCATCTCCTCCTCCTCGTCCCTCGCGTCCTCTGCCCCGAAACTCTGGAACACTCTCCCTCAAATCCCTCCGCCTTGCCCACCACCCCTCTCTCTCTCTCTCTCTCTCTCTCCCCTCCTTTTTTCGACCGTGCTTACGGTCACCCTCTTCCCCCCACCAGCTCGGAGTCAGGCTCCGCCAATGTTAATCACTCTGAGACGATGAAATGCCCATATATTTATTTATTTATTCTCTCTCTCTCTCTCTCTCTCGCTGTCACGCACTCGGTCAAGGTGTCATCCTCTTGGATCAGAAGCAAGGTTTCTGGCTGGTCCACAGCACTCCTCATTTCCCGCTGCCAGCCAACGAGAGTTACAGCTGGCCAGACTCAGGCAAACGCAATGGGCAATCCTTCCTCTGCGTCACGTACCCCTACGCCCAGTTCAACGAGATCGGTGAGGGCACAGGTCGCACATGTCACTCCATTCTACTGTGAAACCCCTGAGAAGCACTTTGAGACGATCTGGACCATGTGATTAAGGCTCTGACTCCCCACCATCGGCGGTCGGGCCTTCAGCCTCTCTGCCCCCACCCTCTGGAATTCCATCCCACTGACCCTCCGCCTCACCCCCACCCTCCCTCCCTGGCCTCCTTCATCACCAGTCTCAAGACCCTCCTCTTCAACTAACTGGGCCTTCGGTCACCCTCCTACCCCCACCCTCCCTGCCTCCACCCTCCCTCCTGATCCCAAGCCCCAGCTCGGGTCCAAACGCCTGACTGTCCAGAGCCTTGGGACGTCCTCCTGATGTGAAAGGCGCTGTGTAAGTGTCGTTTGTTGTTGTTGTTGTATCGATTGCAATGATGACTGTAACCTCTCTCTCACTCACTCACCCTCTCTCTCATTCCTTCCTTGCTCCAGGCCTCCAGCTGTTGTACAACAATCCTCACACTTACTCCCACTCTGTACCGGAGCCTTTCGCCAGAGACTTGCCCGACCTCAAGAAGGCCGTGGAGCCCCACAGGGCGCTCCCCCCGGGGGGGAAGAGAAAGGCTGGGTTGCGCTCAGTGGCCGGAACCAACTTCAACAGCTTCGCAAAATCCAAAGCTTTCGGCAAAGGTAATCCTCGCTCGTTTGAGATGGTGCTGCCCACCCCCACGTCGTTTTCCTTTTCACCCCTCGAGCCCCAAATTCCACCCGGTCTCAGTCTGCCAGACCGCTCCCAGATCGGAGCGAGCAGCTTGCGGGTTCAAACCCCGTGTCGGTGGGGTGGGTGGGGGTGCTTCACGCTCACCTGATCCTCACCTTTAAAACCCCTTCACACCTCTGTATTGCCCCGATCCTCTCTTCCGCTTGGCAAACACCCTCCCCCCTTCCCAGCCCTCCCCCACTCACGAATCGAACCCGGGTCCTCTCGCTTGCGAGGCGAGCGCTCTAACCACTGAGCTACAGGACGTCCCCTATGTGAAGGTCGCGGGATGAACGGTTGCTCTTGTTACAGATCTGTATGTTGACTGGCTGGCGGGCGAGTTTGCCAGTGACCTCCTGGTGCAGTCGTGGCCCAATTCCCGAGGGACTCTGCCGTCGAATTGCTCCGGGCCTCACTGGGTTTACAACGTGGACACCATCCACCTGCCCGGGAACCCCGACTTCACCAGCACCGTAGACCACTCCAAGTGGTGCGTGACCCACCCACGCGGCGACGGACCGAGCTGGGTCTGCGTCGGCGACATCAACCGAGACAGAGCCGAGGAGTTCCGGGGCGGAGGGGTTGTCTGCGTCAACGATCCCGCCGTCTGGAAGTCTTTTTCCAGCCTGGTCTTGAAATTCAAGGATTGTTCGTCCCGTAACTAGCAGCAACTTGTGGGAACTAACTAACTAACTAATTATTATTATAATAAAACAGGTGTTCAGCCGTGCCTCAGGTGTGGAGGCACTCGTGCCTCTGGGCTGCTTTGACACTCCAATAACAATAATAATAATAATAAGCTTTACGTTTGACGCAGCGCCTTATCGCGCCTTTGGCACTTCTCAAAGCACTTCACGGGATATGCTGTAAAGTGTAGTGACAGTGTGTTTTGTGGGTGAAACGCAGCAGCCAATTGCGCCCAGCGACGTCCATGGCAATTGTTTGATTTTGACAAACTAACATTGCACCTTCCTCTTCGACCGTGCGTACAGTCACCCACCCCACTCCTGCTTGACATCGGGTTCTGCCTTTGTTATGTGCTCCGCGACGCTGCCCTTTGTTGTTGTATAAAATGCAATTAAAAGTGGGTTTTATAATCTGTGAGCAGATGTGGGCTTGGTCTTTGGTCAATAATAATTATAACAGTAATAATGCTGGCATTTGACACAGAACCTCATCATGTCTTCGAGATGTCTCAAAGCGCTTCACAGGATACACTGTAAAGTGTAGTGACTGTGTGTTTTGTGGGTGAAATGCCCGGCGTCGTCCCCACAAACAATCGTGGGTTGAAGTGACCGAATTTATTATTATTATTATTTTGTTTTCGAAGGGATTATTACCCCAGAAAAGCCACCCAACTAGTTACAGAGCATTGTGTGGGAGGATTGCACTAAGCTATACCAAAAGTGTGTGATGGAACAGGCTGAGTGGGCTGAATGGCCTCATTCTCTATAGGGTGAGGACATGGGGCTGGGATTTCCTTTCCTGCTGCAGTTCCAGCCTCCAGCCTCCAGGCGGCGCTGTCCCCAAACCCAACCTAACCTGGCGGCGCAACCTAACCTGCTGGTGCGGGGGGGGGGGGGGAGGGGCAGATTGATTGACGTACCAAACGTCCGGCCGAGCGGGTGCAGGTGTGGGACCAATGAACGCGAGGAGAGGGCGGGGCTCTAGAAGAGGTGAGAGACAGGACTGAGGACCAATCAGGAGCCGTCTGGCGGGGGGAGCGGCCAACCAGCGTGAGGAGAGGGGCGGGCTCTGGAAGTGACAGGAGTGAGAACCAATCAGCAGCCGCCAGACTGAGCTGGGGGTGGGGGGTGGGGGAATCCGACCAATGAGCGTGAGGCGAAGGCGGGTTCCGGGGGTGGGGGTGTGATTGACAGGGTCGTGGACCAATCGGGAGTCAGGCCGAGCGGGAAGCTGGTGAGACCAATGACCGTGAGGAAGGGGGCGGGCTCTTAGGGGGGAAAATGGCGCCGAGCGCGAAAAAGCGTCCGGTGGCGGCGGCCAAGAGGAAAACCAACGTCCTGAGGAGCTTACACCGCCTCAAGGTACCGCCCCCCCTCCCCTCCGCCCTCAGCCCCTCCTCCCCCCAACATCCACCCCCCGGCAGCCCCTCCATCCTCACCTCCACCCCTCAACCTCCTCCCTCCCCCTCAACCTTCTCCCTCCTCAACCTCCTCCCCTCAATCTCCTCCCTCCCCCCCCTCAACCTTCCCCCTAACCTCCTCCCTCAACCTCCTCCCTCCCCCTCAACCTCCTCCCCCTCAACTTCCCCCTCCTCCCTCCTCAACCTCCTCCCTCAACCTCCTCCCTCCCCCCCTCAACCTTCCCCCTAACCTCCTCCCTCAACCTCCTCCCTCCCCCCCTCAACCTTCCCCCTCCGCCCCCCCTCAATCTCCTCCCTCCCCCCCTAACCTCCTCCCTCCTCAACCTCCTCCCTCCTCAACTTCCTCCCCTCAACCTCCACCCCCCCCCTTCCCCTTATAGCCCCCTCCCCGGGCGAGAGCAATCCCGGCTATAACAGTGACCCCCCCCCCCCCCCGCGCTGCTCTATATAAACTGTATAAATAATAAATAATAAATACTATATATAATTCCCCCCCACTGCGCTATAACTACTGCAACTGGACACCTGCAGCTATAATAATAATAATAATAATAAGCCTCGCGTTTGACACAGCGCCTCATCGCACCTGTGGGACTTCCCAAAGCGCTTCACGGGATATGCTGTAAAGTGTAGTGACTGTGTATTTTGTGGGTGAAACGCGGCAGCCGGTGCCGCGCAGCAGCGTCCCCACACACAGCCGTGGATTGAGTGACCAAGTTATAGTTATACTAACCTTGAACCCGCACAGTGTACGGTGACGCTCCAATGCGCTGCTGGGGGTGGGTTGCGGGGTTGCGGGGGGTGGGGGTTGCATTGTTGGAGGTGCTGAACGTCATCCGCCTGCTCAGGTGGACATTATTGACCCCGTGACGCCATTTGCAAAGAGAAGGGAGTTTCTCTTTTGTCTCCCTGTGCCCTGACAATTCCCCGAATAAAATCCCCCGCGAGCTATTGTGCTGCCGCGTTTGCCTACAAAAACACACAGTCACTCCATGTCACAGTGAATCCTGCGAAGCTTTGAGACGTCCTTCCGGCTTAAAAAGGCGCCATATCAAATGCAACGACTATTATGATAGCCCTGTAACGGCCCCCCCACAGACACAGCCCACTCTCTGCTTTATAACTAGTGTGACTAGCATAACTAGACTAGGAGCAAACGCTGCAGGTCTCCTTAGTGTTGGGGAGCTGACCTTTGGGTGAGAGTTGATGTGGGAGTTGTGTTTTTTTCTGGACGGTTCCTGAAGTGCTTTACGTTTTCTCGTTGCAGATTACCGGACAGTTCTCCCACCGAATGTTCCAGAACCTGCCGCCGATATTGTGCGTCCCGCTAAAAAACATAGTGGACGATGTGTTTTTGCTCGCGGGGTACGTGGAAGAAAAAAAGGTTTCAGTCGGTTGGCATTCCTTCCTGGCCTTTTCCTCCCCTCCCACCTCTCTCCGTGGAGGAGATCAGACTCCGGAGTGAAAAGTCCGCACTCNAAAAAACATTGATAGAAATGTAGTTCTGCCTTGTATTGAGTAGAGAAGGTTGAGGGGTGGTCTACAGAGAAACTGTTTCCTCTGGTGGGTGGGGGTGGGGGGGATTCAGAACAAGTGGGGGGGCTTCATCTTAAAATTAGAGCCAGGCCGTTTAGGAGTGAAATCAGAAGGCAGTTTTTCACACAAAGGCCAGTGGGAGTCTGGAACACCCTCCCTCCCCCACAAGGCTGCGGATTATGGCTGAATCCGTTCACATTTTTAATTAGAATTTAAAAATCGATTCAAATTTTCCAGACTGAGGTGGACAGCTGTTTGTTAGGTCAGGGGATCAAGCGATAATGCAGCAAGGGCAGGGTAATTGGAGTTGAGGTACAGATCAGCCGTGATCTTATAGAATGGCGGAACAGGCTCGAGGGGCTGAATGGCCTCCTCCTGTTTCTATGCTGCGCAAATAACTAACTGAGCGCCTGAAATTTGAGAGTCTCTCACAATCAGCCTGGCTCCTGACGTGAAAGACGCCGCGTAAATGTCACGTGTTGTTGCACGGAATAATATAACAACGCCGACAACTACTTGCATTTACACAGCGCCCTTCAAGTGGCAGCATTTCGGAGCGCTTAACAATGGCGGAGCCTGAATAATAATTAATAATAATAATAGTTATAAGGATTATTCTTGCTCTTGTTCTTCTCTCGGCTGCAGGCATATATTCCTCGGATTCACAAATGTGGGCGATATGTGCTGTCCTACACCAGGGAACAGGTGTTTGATGAGTTACCGGATTACGTGTATTACCTTTACTGGTGGAAATTCAACATTCACGACAAACTGAAACAGGTGAGTAATAAGCACACAAGCGAGAGACAGCGAGAGCCAAATAGCCCATTGGCCTTTAAATCAAAACCTAGTCTACACCCAGGGGGCTATGTATTTGTTTGTTTGTTTGTTTGTTTGATTTTTGAAGGGTCTCCTTCAAAAGGGTGGAGTCCTGTAGCTCAGGGGTGAGAGCACTCACCTTGCAAGCGAGAGACCTGGGTTCGATTCCCGGGCAGGTCAGGGTGAAACATTGGGCAAGTTTCCTTACTCCACACACACCCCCGTCTCTGGTGACCCAGCATTAAGTATGAAACCAGTTGTTAGTCGATTGGCGCATGCTTTTCCGGGATAATATTTCCCACAAAAAGAATAGTAATAATAAATAGGTCACTCAATCCACGAGTATTTATGGGACATCGCTGTGGCTGCCCACAAAATACACAAGTCACTGCATTTGACAGTGTATCCTGTGAAGCGCTTTGGGATGGCTCGACGGTGTAATAAGGCGCTGTAGGAAATGCCAGGATTCTTGTTGTTATTATTATTATGGTTTGTGTGTTATTATGATTTGTGTGTGTTTGATTGTAGGTGCGGCAGATCCGCTTGTTCAAGGATCAGGAAGTGTACAGCGACCTGTACCTGACTGTCTGTGAGTGGCCTAGTGACCCAACAAAGCTCATCGTCTTTGGCTTCAAGTAACTATCTGTGACCCTTTTTTACAAAGAGAAGTAACGCAACACCAACAACAACTTGCACTCACACGGGCAGTGTCTCTCGGCGCTTAACAGTGGTGGAGCCGGGGGGGGGTGGGGGGGGGGGAAGGTGCCTTCCTCTAAACACAGTAGAAGAGGAAGGTCTTCAATTGTGATCTAAAAGAGGGGAAGGAGGGGGAGAGGAGGAGGGATTGGTGGGGAGAGAGTGACGGAGACTGGGGGCGTAGTGGCTGAAAGCGCGGCTGCTGATAGGGGGTCACGAGGGACATGCATTTGGCACCTCCCTCCCTATCTGACCTGAAGACTTGATCTGTCTTCCTCTATGACTGTGCCTCCCCACCCCTTCTCTCTCTCTCTCTCTCTCTCTCTCCCCCCCCTCTCCCTCCTCCTCTGGCTCAGTGTCAGCCTCCGCCACTGTTCGAGACTATACCCCAAGCGAAGGGCCGCTGTGCAAAAGCAAGTTGCTGTTGTTAATTCGGACGCCTTGTGGCGTCCAAACTGAGAACTATTATTGTCAATCGTCGTCGATAACAAGAAGGAATTCTTTATCTGAGAATCAAGAAGACACAAAGGCGTTATTGTTTTTTTAAAGAATTTTCCATAATTTAGTCTTCAGAGTAGGAATTTGTGGGGGCGGCCGGGGAGGGGGTGTTGTGAGGTGGGGGGGAATAAGGTTGTGGGGTCTGGTTTGCGGGGAACGGTGAGGTTGTGGGGTCTGGTTGGCCGGGGTGGGTGAGGTTGGTGGGGTTTGACGACCAGGGGTCTCGTTTGGCGGACATTTCCCTCTCGAGATGAAATAAATCCCGACGTGAAAGCCTTGTGTTTATATCTCAGTATCCGCTCCGTCTATGACCTGCTGATCAACATGGTGATGAGCGACGAAAACGACCGAGATATTTACATTACAGCTGTGGCTGCTCCTCCCTTCACCCAGTGCCCGGACTGCCGTGACACAGCCCTGCTCACCACAGGTCAGACTAACCCCTCCCTCC